AAAGTAATGATAAACCTGTGAGTTGAATGTAGAAAAGTCAGATTCAATATAGATGTTTTTTATTTTGAAGAAAATTCAGATTGAAGATGGTAAACTGTAAATTATAGTGTCCGTCCAAAAAATATTTTTTACTTATAGTTAAAACTAACCTTGGATGATGGTTTAGTAGACTAAAAGCTTTAGGAATCCAAAGTGCAACATATAAGTACCCTGTATCAAGATTGATGCAAAACAAGTGATATTTGACCTTTTTAGACAGATTTAGCAAAAAAAACCTCTTCTGGGCCGATTGGTGGATTTTCATATCTCTGGCTCCCCTGCTGGATTTTGATATGTGACATCTCTTTCTAACCGTCAGAGCCAATGGAATCGACGGGAACTCCCACATAGTCCTTATTTGGTCATGTGTGTGTATTATACTGCTGCATAGCCAAGAGCGGAAGCAGCAGCCACTCTGGTGGCTACCATTAGCAGCTAACTTTTGCTTTGCGATTTTTACATAAAAATATAATTAAGGATTATAAATGAGAAATTTTTTTATACAGAGACGTTAAAAACCTATGGATTAACCGATTCAGCCGCGTTTTTTTCTCATTTTAATGCCATTGAACACGTCTTTCGATCAGATTGACAGCTACGGTGAGACGATCTCCCTAGAAGCTCCGTAAAGGTACGTGTTGTGATGTCTGTGTTTGCTTCCCCTGTTGAGAGTTCGGATCGATGATACTATATACCTAAATAATCTGTGGAACCTCAGCTTTAATCGGATATCTTGTATGTGCAGCTACGATAAGTAATAAGGGTACTTTTATCTTGAGTTCTGTGCTAATGTCTGTTAGCATTTTTCGCTAAGGGGTCATTTAGATGCTTCTCATGAGACTTGTTTTTTGTTTTGGTAAAAATTGTTTGTATCGTCAGTTAGCTGAGATTATTTCCCTTAATCTGGTATAACACATTAATAGGTTCTTAAATATTAAGATCCCCTGAGACACAGTGTCGTGAAAAAAAAACCCAGGGTCCCCGCTACAGGTTAAGTGCGACTCTGAATTTGCAGAATAAAACCAACCCAATGGTCGCACAATGAACAAAAACACATCTGCAGAAACAGGGACCAGACAATGTTTGATTTAGTAATGCACTTTAAAGTAAGATCATTGAAGATGGACCTAACTTAAAATAGGATGATAGCTAGATAAATATGCAGCCTGTGTGTTGGAGAGGCTGTATAGAAAGACTCCAAGAAAAAGAGTACAAATTAACAGGTCTTGGTAAGTTAGGGCAAAAATAAGGAAATGTTTTGGATTTGTATCGAGATCTGAACTAAGTGCCAAATTGTACACACACACACACCCACACACACACACACACACACACACACACACACACACACACTTAAACATTATCATGCACTCATTCTTGTTTTGTTGTACATACCGTTACATCTATGCGTGTGTGTGTGTGTGTGTGTGTGTGTGTGTGTTAGCCACTAATTGGACTGAATTTCACCGAGCAACAAAAGATCAGGCTCGAAAATTCCAGCTCTGGTTTGTACAGGCTTTGCTTTGTTGTCTCTTGGCTTTCTGTCTCTTCTAATGCTGTGTTAACAGTTATCTCTCTCTCTCTCTCTCTCTCTCTCTCTCTCTCTCTCTCTCTGTGTTTCTTTCAATCTCTCTCTCTCTTTTTATTTTTCTTTCACGCGGCCCATGAAAGCTTTTTTTTTTTTTGCCCCAAACGAAGCACCGTTACCCAAACTGCTCTGAGGCCAGAACTCACGAGGGACTTCCCTCATCAACTCCCGAATATCTCTCCCTCACACACACACACCACACGCACACGCACACGCACAAACACACATTAACACACACACACATTTCAGGAGCCACAATGAACCCCAGACCTTCATTGGAGTGGACCGTTGCCACCGTCTCCATCTATGGGAAACTCTCTGTGTTGCTCGGTGCTGATCCTGGACCGGAGCTTCCTGTTGGGTCTTTCTGTTGATGTTGAGGACGGATAGATCTCGGAGGGAAGGATGATGATTGAGCTGCAAAGCCCGGATGATAGAGGAGGAGGAGGAGGAGGAGGCGTTGGGTACTTGGACATACTGAGCACAGAGGAGCTTGAGTGTAAGATCTGCTACTGCGCCTACAATCTGAACAGCCGCCGTCCGAAAGTGCTCGATTGCTGCCACCGTCTTTGCGCCAAATGTCTCACCAAGATCCTTGACCTTGGTGAGTCGCCTCCGAACGTCGTGGTGTGTCCGTTCTGCCGATACGTCACCAGACTATCTGGGCAGGAAGTGAGCAGCCTGCCAGATGATTGCAACCTGTTGGCGGCGCTGTCCCTCCGAAGCAGGAACCAGAGGAACCTCCACTTCCACCAGGAGGCGACGACAGAACTGCTCCTCAACCCCCGGCGCCTCAACTCTCTGATGGGAAGTAATCCACCCATGACATCCCCTTTCTCCTCCTCCTCTTTGTCCTCGTCTTCTTCTTCTTCCTCCTCCACCACTTACTCCTCCATACGAGGGTCCTCTAACTTTGTGGTGATCACCATCATGGAGCCGCCACCGCCGCCAATACCCAGATCCAACCGAGGAGAAGCCCACCATCACGGATCGGACTACCGCTCCTCCAGTTTGGACTCCATGGCGTCCATCACTCAGAGGTGGACGATGTGGAATTGTGCCGCCCTGCTTTGTCAAACCTCCGCCCGAGCGCTGGTGTGGGTTTTGGGGTTGCTGTACTTCAGCTCGCTGCCAATGGGGGTCTACCTGCTCATCATGCAGAAGACCACGGTCGGAGTCCTGCTGGTGAGCCTGGTTCCCGCCAGCCTGGTCATAATCATGGTCTACGGACTGTGCCAGTGTATCTGCCACGAGCTGTGGGACTGCATGCCTCCATAATGGGAAGCACATGAATGAAGGGGGTTCAATGGGTTTGTGTTCGAAAAATGTCACTCGTCACCGGCTTGAGGATCCATGTATCTGTGATCCTCTCCAGAATGGAAGTAGTCATCACATACAGAGCATCAACTAGTTCCTGAACAGTGTCCTTCACATGCTGATATCCAAGACAGTCACAAGATGGAGGAATGCCGGTTCTTCTAGGTAATCATACATCCTGTCATGTTCAAAATATTGATTTTTTTTCTCAAAATATTGGCTTTTTTCAGAAAATCTCAACATTCTGACCTTTTCTCAAAATTCTGACTTTTTCTCCAAGCTCTGACTTTTTCTCAAAATCCCCAAATCGTGTATTTTTCTCAAAATCATGTATTTTTTTCAAAATCTGAAAATTCTGACTTATTCTCAAAATCTCAAAATTCTGACTTTTTCTTAATACTTAAAAATGTTAATAATCCCTGGTTCGGCTTGAGCTTCAATCTCAGGATCCATGTATTTGTGATCCTCTCCAGAAGTCATCACATCAACTAGTTCCTGAACAGTGTCCTTCACATGCTGATATCCAAGAGAGGGAGTTACACAGTCACAAGATGGAGGAATACCGGTCCTTCTATACATTCTGTCATGTACAAAATACTGACTTTTTTCTGAAAATGTTTTTTTTTCTGAAAATCTCAACATTCTGACTTTTTTCTCAAAATGTTGGCTTTTTTCTCAAAATGTTTTTTTTTCTCAAAATCTCAACATTCTGAATTTTTCTCAAAATTCTGACATCTGAAAATCTAAAAAATTCTAAATTTTTCAAAAAATTCTGCCTTTTTATCAACATTCGGACTTTTTCACAAAATATCAAAAAATTCGGACTTTTTCTCAAAATCTAAAAAAATTCGGACTTTTTCTCAAAATCCCCAAATCATGTATTTTTCTCAAAATTCTGACTTTTTCTGAATACACTCGTCACCGGCTTGTGCTTCAATCTCAGGATCCATGTATTTGTGATCCTCTCCAGAATGGAAGTAGTCATCACATACAGAGCATCAACTAGTTCCTGAACAGTGTCCTTCACATGCTGATATCCAAGAGAGGGAGTTCCACAGTCACAAGATGGAGGAATAGAAAGCAGTATTCAATGTTTACTTCAGATTAGCTCCACGTCAGAAATGAACATGCTTGTCTATGTCTCTCTCCATAGAGGCTGAATCATCATGTTAATCACATAGCTATCATATGCCTCAAACAGTCCTGATGCTCTTCTAGGTAATCACACATCCTGTCATGTTCACAGCTACAGTTGGGATACCTTTGTTATCGTGTTACTCTGATGTTGGAAGAGTTCATTCACAATTTTTTGCTTAGCTAGACAATGGGTCTCCAGAGTTCACTAATGGGGACGTTACCGTGTAACTGACCATGCAAACGCTTCAATAGCAGAACAAAAAAAATGCTCCTTTTCTTTATGGGAGATTATGTGCATTACAAATAGAGCTTAGAGTGTTTTCATTGTTATACATGTTCATTTGTGCTAATGTGTTTAGCTTGGTAGCCGATTAATCCGCTACGTGCACAGTCACTTTCGCATTCTGTGTAATACTGCTCGTCTGTTTCCGGTTAAAAGATGACAACCTTTTATATCCGCTTGAAAAGCTCTTGAAAATCAACATTTACGATGTTCATCGGATTTGCCTGACGACTAAAGCCCACGCCAGAAAACTGGAAAAAGCCTTTTTTCTCCGTCGTCCATTTGTGCTAATTAGTTTAGCTTGGTAGCCGACCTTTTACGCCCGCTTCCTAGGAGCTCCTGAAAATGAACATTTAAGATGTTCATCGGATTTGCCAGGCTACTAAACCCCCAGCCAGAAAACTGGACAAAGGCTTCAAATGATATACAGCATAATATATACACAACTATGAAGAACAGAAAACCACTATTTCCGCATCGACTGGCGCTAACCAGCTAACGCTAGCATACTGGCTAACGTCTAGAGTACTTTTTCTCCTGTCTTGGAAAATATTCCGTCGCTTGTGTTAAAATAAACTTTTAAACTAAATCACAGCCAGTTTAAAAGGACACTCTTCAGAGCAGTTTCACGGTGTGTTGGGAGTACGTCAGAGACCCTCGTGCAAATAGCGTATTAAAGTTCAAAGCGTCAGACTTAGCTACGAGGTAACTTAGTGACAAAATGTAACTAACAGATATCAACATGAAATTTTCCCAGTTGATTACCGACATAATGAGAAATAGTTTTTGTATTACAAGTTTTCCGAAATGTCATGTTTGAATATGCAAATGAGGGATTATCTAATTAAATGTGTGTTGATTTGCATCTCTTTACATTGTATAAATCTGGGTTTAAAACTCTTGTTTCATTTTGTTGACATATGAGAGTAACGCAATGTTTTTTGGAATAAAATGTTCAATAAATCAGGTTGTGTGACTTTTTTTGTAGAGGTTTGGTGCATCTGAAGCAGAGATGAATATTAATTAACATAAATATGCAAATTGAGTATAATTAAATGCTATTTTTGGTGAATTAAGGGAACATGCAAATAAAGAAAGTTAGTGGGATGGACACCTAATTAAGTATAAGTTCGGAAGTAAAATAGCCACAAAAATTTTTATTGGCTTTTTTGCTCGGGCTATCTCGTTATTGCCATTTCTGGTGAATTCTGCTAAATAAATGTGTGTGGATGAGAAAAACAAGACCGAAACAACGACGCTTTGGCAGGTCATTCTGGTTATTTTTAATCAGAGCACAGGTTGCAAAGTTCTTCACACAATGCAGCAAATTAAAATCAACATACTGTAAAATAATAACAAATGTTGAGTAAACTAATTTCACCAATTCACGTAAGATTGGAGAAATGGAAAGAAAAGTCCAATAAAGGCAAGAAATTCTCTATTAAAGTATTAGATTTACGTGGATATTTGTTAGAATGCCTTATTTCCTCAGACAAATCCATCTTAGTGTGCAGCATAATACATTTAGCAATAATGGAAAACCTTAATGTATGAGATCTTAAAATTCAATCTTAAAACTTGCTGCCAGTGTATGATGCTAAAAAGGTGATATTTATAACATCATGTTCTGGTTTAATGTCTGAAAACTGAAATAATTCTTATTCAAACATATCTGAAATTTGCTTTAAGGAGTTTTTTCTAGAAAGTTCATTTTGATTAAATACTACTTTGTTTAGTTCAGTCTATATTGAAGTGTCGACTCATGTCCTGCTCTGTGATGAGTTAGAGCCTGAACCACCAGAGGGGGCTAATCTCCTCTGCCCCTTTATGTCTAAGAAAATAGAAATCAAATCAGTGTTGTTGGAGAACTCCAGACTTTACATGTCATAAAAAATCCAACTTGCTTCAAGTCTCACACTATCCATTCAAATTATGAAACATATGCAGCAGGAGTGTTTGCTCAAATCATTTGAAAGTCAAATTAAACTTTAATGCTGTTATTACAAATAGCTGTGAGCACTTCTACCACTCTTTGTGTTTGTAATAGTTGCTAATTGACTTTGTGGCAATTAGGCACACATTAATAAAGAGAACATGTTATTGCAAAATAAACTATTATAATAAATGATTTAAATGTAGATGTTGTGCTTCAACATACCTTCTAATAAAAGAGTTTGCTTGTAAAATAAACAACAGTCAGAGCATTTTCTACTAAGATATGCAAATATGTAAAACTCAGGAAAATATGCAGCATTATAGTGTTTTTTCGTTGTCAGATAAATAAGAAGGCCCCTTTATGCTTTAGGGTTGTTCCCTTCCATGCAGTGTGTTATATAGGTTTGTGTGCATGTAAATGGTGTGCAAAGGCTACAATTCCAAAGTTCTCTCCCACACACTCCCTTCCCCCCTTCCTGAAACGCCTCCATTGGACTCCTTTGTTTACTTCCTGAACATAGTGACATCACTATTTAACCCTCCGGCTCCTATTTGGCTAGTGCTC